GAAACTGTCTTCAGGTTAGCGGCGCTTGTCCTGCAGGTAAGACTTGACCCACTGCCTCTTACCCTCTCCCTTTGTTTGTTGGTTGTAATGAACTGCCTGCAACTCTTGAAACTTTTGCATGGGCCAGTGGCTGACGGCTTTTTCTTTTTAATTGAAGTATAGCCGGTGTACAATGCTATGTTAGTTTCCTACTCAGCCATAAACAAGAATAAAATAATGCCAGTTGCGGCGACATGGGTGGACCTGGAGATTGTCAGACTGAGTGAAGTAAGCCAGAAAGAAAATAAATATACCATATCATGGCTTTTTAAAGCTGCCTGGTCGTTTGTCAGTGTAAAATGTGAGCCACTCTTTTCTGTTTTAGTCTAGTTTGCATGAACGGGAGTGTGATATTGTATGTCTCAGAGGAAAATGAAATTGAGACTTCTCCAAGGGAGAAGAGTTCAGACTGTACTCCTGGCCGAAAGCTCTGGGATGCTTGCGTTTGGGAAGCGGCAGTTGTTACAACAGCTGTAATTTGCATTTAAATTTAGTAACTTTTGTATAGTTTTCTTGAGGTTGAGTTAAAGAGCCCTTTAATTCTTAAAGGCACAAGTAGCTGAAAAACCAGTGTGTGCCATGCTGGTTTAAAAAAAAATGGCATGTGCTGATTTACCTGTGTCATGGTTTAAACAGTCTGTGTCCAGACTAAAAGCTGTGCTGATTTGATGGACAAGACGTTATCATGAGATCTTCCAAACATAAAAGGAGAAATCATCAAACATGCTTCCTCCCCCAACCCCAGATTTGTCTCTTCTGTTAAAAACAAGAAATAGTTCATGGGTACTAGCGATTTCTTAAATGCCACATTCTTCTCCATGATCTTAGGGAAAGTGTTCCGTGTGAAAAAAAATTTCAAAACAAAACGCAGGCATTTTAAGAGGAGGAAATAATCAAGAGTAAAATTCCTTTCCCTTCATTAACTTTACTGCAAATTGATCATCTGTCTTTGTTGTTTATTTCAGGAAGCCAAAGGGGATTACACCAGGTAATGGTTCCTTTTCTGATATTACTGTGCAAAATAACCCTAGCTGAATCTCTTAATGCTATTTTAAATAACAATGGATGGAGAATCAAAAGAAAGTAGATCCCAAAGCAAGAGACTGAGGTCTCTTTCCTCTTCAAATAGAGACCTATTCTTTTTGTGAATGAATCCGGGAATGAAGCTTTCTTAGGATTTTCCAAGCCAGAGTGACAGCAAATCGTACTGAGAAGCCCCCCAAAGTTCTATTTTCTGTCATCTGTTAGCAAGATGAAGAAATCTATAAAAAGCTTTAGTAGCCTGTGCTGATTTTTTGTGCACTTATAATAATCCTGTGTTTGCAGAGTTATACCACAAGCACAAAAAGATTAAATCCATCAGCTGCTTCGTGAAGGGATTAATAGGGGCTTTCTTTTTGCAGCTGCCCTGAAGGGGCCTCACCCTTCATACACTTGACCTAGCAGCTGTATTGTTGCCACCTAGACATCTAACTGCCTAACTGGCCAAATCATCAGAGAGTGTTTGTATTTGAATTCACCCTCTATCTGCACCGTTCTGTTCTTTTCATGCAATAGTTGCAGTTGGGATAGTAGAAAGGGTTAAAGGTGGAGGCAAGACCTCCAATTAGAAACAGCTCAGGGCCCAAGGACCCATTGAAAGCCTCGCCTCCCCTGTGTTAATGTTCCACTCCGGGTAAACTTTACCTGTAGATTATTTACAGATCAGCTAGTACACATCGCCCCTCACCCCCCCCACTGTGCAGTCTTTGCATAATGTGCTCCTTAATGGACTGATAACCAAACAATACCTTCCTAGCTTGAAAACTTTCCGTCACCGAGTCATGCACGCTTTGCTTCAGAAACGCTAGCCACTTTCCACGCCTGCGCACAGTTTGGTAGAATGACAGAGGCGTCCACTTAACATCATGATCCACCCACCACATTCTCCTGTTAGCTCTGTATGGTGCTTTATTATTTTTTAAATTTCTTAGGTTAGGAAGTAGGCTTTGAAGGAGTCAGAAAAACCAGTGAACACCAAACTCTTTAATTAAAAAGGAAATATCAGGGCATAAAAAAGAGGATAAATGAGTCTAGCTCATTAACATCAAGAACGGCTGTGTTCTCCACTGTTGTCTTTCCTGGAGGAGCCGTATTTCCTCAGAAGATCAGATATGTGAGGAATGCGGTCCTCACGCAGGGGGTGAGTCTGAAGTTGATTTATGAGGAAGGACTTCAGGACCGAAAGCTCACACTCTGCCGTCTGTGGACTGCTAACCCTTCCTCCCCCACTTCCTCCCCCACTTTCTCCTGGTCAAGCATGTGATGGACACTCTTGGAGCCTCATTTCCTCATCAGGAAAATGGCACCTACTGCCTAGGTCTGTTGTCAGAGTAATTGTGTAGAAACATTGCTCAGAGGAGTGTCTGGTGTGTAGCAAGCTCTCTATGCATGTGCGCTGTTACCATTCACTGTTACAGTGTCATTAGTACCCTCATCCTTGTCATCATCCCGTCCCATCTCTTGGCAACCTCCAAAGAGACTTTTGGGGTGAGTCTGAAGAAGTTGTAATAACATGTCAGGGGAAAGAAGACGCAAGAAAAGTTAATTCTATAAACTTTCCGCAGGGAAGAATGCTTGCCTGTGGCAGAAGAAGGCTTAAAAGGGACAGTCCTTGGGTAATCCAGACCTGTTAGCCCTAAGCTTTCAAGGTTGATGAGTTAGTCTGGCCAAGCCCCAACCAGTCCTTAACTTCAGTTTGCTCCTGGCGGTTTCCTCAGTGATTATTAGAAAAATGAAATGGAGGACCCCATTTTGAAACTGTCTAAACCACGCTGAGCAGTAGAAAGAACTTGCGACTGGGAATCAAGATACTAGCAGTGTGACGATGAATGAGCCATCTATCTTTTCTCAGCCTCGGTTTCTTCATCTGTAAATTGGGACTAATGAAAATGTGACTTGGCAGGGTAGTTTTGAGGCTATGAGTGATGTTCAAGGACTTTGTAGTTTACAGTTTGTTTTATAAGCCTTAGTTATTGCTGATGAGGGCGAAAGAAAGAACAGGAAATGCGAACTTTTGTCATTGGATATGAAGCAGAATTTTGGTTCATTGCCACCGCTCCTTCCCTCTCTGATGTACCTCCTCCCTTGGATGGAGAGGATATATTTTTTCTCCAAAGTTTTGTTATGAAACTAATTTAAGAAAATCAAGCAAAGTACCACATGGCAATGTTGCCTAGTGTTTAGGGCAAAGACGCTCACTCAGACAGCCTCGCTCAAACCCCAGGCCTGCAGCTTATTACCTGTGTGACCTTGAACATGTTATTTAAACTCACCAAGCCTTAGTTTCCTCATCTGTAAAATGGGACTTATATTACTAGTATACACCCCCATAGAGCTGTTACGGGGACTAAATGAATTAATGTTTACAAAGTGCCTAGAACAGTTCCTGTAGTTGCCACTGTCATATTCCATGAAATTGATGGACATGATCTGCCTCTCCCCTGTTGTCTTAAATATGAATTGTTTCCCTTGGCTGATATAAATAATGCTGTGATGACCATCTTTGTATAGCTGGGACTGGGGTTATCTGTGATTATTTTCTTAAGTGATATGTCTCAGCTAGAGAACAAGCAAAGGGAGATTCCTCAAAGGAGGTAAAGTCCAAAGTGCTGGAATGGAATTTACGCATTCTTGATACCACTAAATGAAAATTATACAAAGTTCACAGCTTCATCCAGTAACATTTACTGAAGGCCTAAAATGGGTCAGTGCCAGTCTAGGCACCAGGGCCTGCCTTCCAGAGAATCTGGCTTTCTGTCAAGGGCTCCCACGGTGGCAGTTCTGAATTCCACTTTTCTGTTGGTCTGCATGGTGGTTGCTGCTCTTGGCTTTTAGAACTTCACTGAATTTACTCCCTGAGGTTTAAACGTGGACCAAAAAAAGATTCCCAGATACTACCTTACTAGACTAGGGCACTGTGGCTTTTTTAATTAAAACAGTGATTGAAACACCTAATTCTTAAAGCTGCTCTGGTCCACCCACTCCTTGTGAATGTCTCCTTCTTTCTCAAATTTCAAATTTCCAAAGCTGAACCCAGCAGCATCCCAGCCCCCTGACTAACTCCTCCTCCTCTGTCTCCCCTTGAATAACCACATTCTCTCTTAAATCATCTCGCAGGATTTTCCCTCTTCCCTCCCATCCCTTTTCTCCATCTGTCAGACAGCTCCCTTCTTTCCTTCTCGTTAATCAGAACCCTGACTTTCTCAGCCCTCATGCTCCCTCTGCTCAGCCTCTAAAATACGTTTGTATGTATTGTTTGTTTGACTGCTTTCTACAGCATTACTTTGGTCTGTGCCTGATTTCATTTAATTCCCACCACAGTGGTTATCATCACCACTTAGCAAATTAATAGATGGAAAATTTAGGCCCAAAGAGATGGTATCACATAGCCGGTGAGTTCTCAGATCTGTTCTGATTCCATCATTCACCACCACCTGCGCGTAACCCCTTGTTATCTTCCCAAGACATAAATGTGGTCATTGGTGTTGACTTCCACACATCTCTTACAATTTCTCATTGCACAGATGTCCATCTTCCAAGACCCTAAGCTGGCATTCAAGGCCCCACTTAATCTGTTTCATACATTTTAACCTCCCATACTCTACTGTTCATACTCCTTAATATCTGTTCCTGCTTCTCTTCTCTTTTCTCCACATACCCTGTACTACTTTGCCTTCATGGCTTTGCTCAAACTCTTCTTCCTAGAATGCCTTTAAAAACAGCTATCCTCCCCTTCTTATTGTGCTTCCTGCCTCGTTTCCTTAAGAGTATTTTCAGTTAACCTTATCATAACCAGTAGGAAACCTTGCTCTCTGAAAGTTAATTAAAGTAGTGGCGTGGAGAGTTCCATTTTCTTTAAATAGTTGACAGTCTGAATGTCCAAGTCAGCCCTTAAGCTGCAAAGATAACAAACCACTCGGGTAACACAACGCAGACAAACAGAGAATTCCTGAAAGCTGACACGGCAAGGGGGAGTGCAAGGTTCTTATCACTGAGCCAGCCACAAAGGAGTTTGTAAAAGCAAAGCATTTTCTTTTCTTTTCTTTCTTGTTTTTCTTTTTTTGAAGATCCTGAAAGGTGGAAGTTACCAAGAACTATGTGACTAGGGCACTTTGGCTTCTAAGGAAAAGTGAGTGACTAAAATTTACAATTCAGTGCTGGGTCAGAATGAGAGTAGATTATCACCCAGCTTCAAATGGGAGGGAATACTTCACAATTTACAGCTGTGCTGCAAAAGGCAGCTGTTTCCCATGGGAAAGGAACTTCTCTGGATGCCTTGAGAGCAGTTAATGAAGGGAGGGGAAAAAAAAAAACCAAAGGCTTTAAAGAACCTCTTCCCCTACTTCTTACACCTCTAGCGCACTTAAGGCTCTACAAGATCATCCCCTTAAATCAGTTACTATAATAAAAATAGCAGCTTCCCTGGGCTAGGTGCTGGGCTGAGACTATCCTCACTCACATCAAGGGGGAGGCCATAGTGAAGATAAAAGCTTTGGAATTTAACTGCTTGGGTTCAAATCCAGGCCCAGGCACTTCCTGTATAACTGAGGGTAAGTAATCTCTCTGGAGCTCAGCTTCTTTTTCTCTTGTTACGTGGTGTTGTTATGATTAATATGTTTAACCTTTCCTCCGATCCTGTGACAATAGGCACTACGCATATCCCCATTTTACAGAGAGAGAAACTGAGCTTTGGAGAGAGTAAGCTGCTTACTGTCGCGGTCACATGGCTTGGACAGTGGCAGAGTTAGGACCCCACGCCTAGTGCTCTTGACCACTGTCAGGAGTCCCCTTTTTTCATATTCTGACACAAGCTTGTAAGAATCATCATCTTCCTTGCTGGCAGAACAAAGAAGGCTGACTCGACAGGAGTTTAATGTTTCTGTCTAATTTCAGGCTGGGGCCTTTAATGAATCAGCAAAACGCTTTTGTGAAAAGCCTGATGAGAAG